CAGCCAGCAGATGAAGAGGAAGCCTGTGGCCAACTGTGCAGAAACAGAAAAAGGTTTTGCTGGCTGACGCCACACAATCTGCAGAAGTGACTATCGAAGCAGCTGGTGATGATGAAGAGGAGGAGGAATCAGTGTCACTATGGTCTGCTGTTCTCAGGTTGTTTCTGTGTTGAAACACTGATGAATATCTGTAAGATTTTGAAGAGTTCCCATAATAAAAGTGCAGCAGACTCTGATTAGGCGTCAGGTGTTCGTTACAGCTAATTTACACTTTTTTCTTCCTGTGCTCACAAAAATGAGGTCCATCGTTTTACACGTCAGCCCAAGACAAACCAGCTGATTGTGTTTTGTTACCTGACAATTATTTGATAAACTAGTTACGACCGTTTCAGCTCGACACGTTCATTCCTGGCCTGTTTTCATCAGTAGTTTGTCGCTGTCTCAGAACCAGGATTGGACACGCTGATGGACAGGGTCAACTGGACGTGACGCCGGCACTGAAGTTACTGTCACAGCCTCTGACTCACCGTCCTGGATCCTCCCCGCCAGAGCTTCTGTGCTGAAGCCAGCGAACACCACGGTGTGCACCGCACCGATACGTGCACACGCCAACATGGCCGCCACAGCCAGCGGCGACACTGGCATGTAAATGGCCACCCTGTCCCCCTTCTGGATCCCATGGCTCTTCAGAGTGTTGGCGAGGCGGCAGGTGGTCTCCAGCAGCTCCCTGGAAGGACATACATGACACATGGGAACAAAACATGAAACCACACGCTCAGCTTCAACTGTTTACCAGCAAGGTTGTGACGCAGGCGGCCCTTAAAGGATCAGGCCTTTAATTTCATGTCAACATGTTGAGCACAGACAAGAAAACAACATGGGTTCAAGTGTTTCTGGGCTGGGTTAAACCGCACAGTGTCCCACGCGTCCTGACACGGAGTCAGCCAAAGTTCTCCAAGTCAAATGAGAGAAGTATCGGAAGAAGTAACAAGGCTCATTTCAGACTCAGGGACAATATCTTCAATACTTCCCACACATCCTTGTGACATGTCTCACAGAGAAGCTCGGCTGCTCACCAACAAACTTCTTGACCCAGTTCTGTCCATCCAGAGACTGATGGCGGCTCCTGGCTCAGCCTCTTCCTCGTTATTTTTGTTATAAAATCAGTCTAACCTCTCTGCTGAGAAAATTAAAAGCTGAGGAGAAATCAATAAAGACCAGACGCAGTAGAGCACTGGCATTGCTTGACAGGCAGCCAGTGGCATCAACAACACCCCCTCCTGACGAGTAAGCAGACTGGAGCGGATCTATGTTTGCCTGCACTTTACACCAGAGCATTTCAAATGATTTCAGAATAAGGGCCACCTGTAAGGGCCACAGGTCTAAAGTCATGGAGTTTGATACTTGTATGATGACAGAAGCTTTCCAGGGATCAGGGACCCGATAGGAACATGAGCTGCAGACATATTATGAGCCATTCTTCAGCACTGACCATGTTCACACCTGCTTCCCGGGGCAGCTATGAGACCACTTACAGTAGTCTGACAGGAGCCTCCTCAGTGAACACACCCTGCACAGTGGCCCCTGTTCAGTCGCCCTGGGTATCAGTTTCTGTTCACATCACCTTTATATGCATCGGTATGTGAATCAGGTTCGTTGCCTCCTCCGCGGTGGGTCTAACGGGTGCGTTTCTGTTTGCTGTTCACTGCTCTGACATTCATGGACACACCTGTGTGTTTATGGTGCAGTAATGTACGGATCCTGACAGAGATAGCATCAGGGCAAAACGCCCTGCTGATGAGACAAAGGTCAGCACCATCTGCAGACAGGGAGGATATGCTGAACTTTGTCTGCGGGGCTGATTAGAGGTTTGCAGGTCTTCATACCTGTAGGTGACCTTCACCTCTGTGCCGGGTTCATCTCGCTCCCAGATCAGAGCCACTCGCTCCGGATGTTTCTCCACATGGACGTCCAGACAGTTCACTGAAAGACAGACGGACACAGCAGGGCATGAAGCTCAGGTGTTACACATGGTGTTTTAAATGGGGGAATCAGGCTTTCTAGATGAAGACTATCCGAGGTAGAACATGGTCAGCATCTTTACACCCACCTAAATAATCACAATAATATGTGGCATAACAGTAAATATGAGCGGTGAAAGTCAGTCCAGCCTCCAAACAGCTCCGGCTGTGTTTTCACTGCTTCTCTCTTTTATATCATATTAAACTCAACTGGACTGTCACTGTGCAGAGAACATGTCCAAAGGCAGTGAAATGCAGTTAGCAGCTGAAATGTAACAGAAACAGCGTCATTTACAGGCAAAGTGCAGTGAATATAAGTGCTGTATGTACACGGGGGCAGTACTCACAACCAGAATGTATGAGGAGAGGGCAACGTATTAATAGGCTGAAGTGTCACAGGTGTGAGTGGAAAAACACCAGATAGGCCTGAGTCCACATGGAGGACAAAGGCACGCGAACGGTCCAAACAGAGGGACCAAAGCAACCAACCCAGTGTCTAAACCAAGGGAGCTCATCAGGAGAGTGGACATGGATGTGGTGGGGTACAGAGTCGGGACTGGATAACAAGGAAGACGTAAGAGGTGTGCAGGGCAGAGTCAGGGAAAATCCAAAGGTAAGTTGAGACTGGATGGAAGGTGAACTCCAGAAACCACAGAGAGGCCAGAACCGTGACACAAACGTACAGCACAGAGTCAGGGGGACGGGCCTGTCTGCAAACCACAAGACATGGTGAAATCTGAGGAAGAGTGTCTCCCACTATGGGAGAGGGCGTGTGGGTTGCATGACTTGATAACCACCTGCTGAGTCTCGCCACGTGCACACACTGCACTGTTTACAGTTTCTAACATCTTAGTACAAACAGTAAATCAGGTGATAATGAAAATAATCATTGGCTGCAGCCTTACTACACTGGATGGAAACCTATGGAGCCCCAAAGGGACACTGACCATTAGAAAGCTGAGATGGTCTGGAGCTAAACATGTGCTTGAGTCTATAGAAGAGTGTCCTGGCTGAGCC